GTGTGTATATATATATAGTGTATATATATATATATACACGTAGCACAAAAAATATGAAAGTTTGTGTTTGTCTGATCATTTTTTTGTTGTAACAATACTTATTGGCACCTGATTGACAGCACCTGGGTGAACCAGATGCTGAAACAAGTGTAGCTGTTCGGCAGAGAAGAATTGTCAAAATTTTCATGTCCGCAACGCACATACTCAGCTCTACTGCTCATCCCACAAATGCATGTTACTTACAAATCTGGCACCATTTAAAAGAGAATTTGACAGGCTATCCAACGGTATATTTATTACCAAGAAGCATTGTTATTGTTGTTTAGTAACAATCTACCAAACATGCATTTCCTTGTGCTAAGTTTTTATAAATTGTGGGCTAAGGTAGCAGTTGCTGCATCTTCATTTTCTAACTTGGTAATACTATATGCAACAGCATGGCTAGTTGGCAGTTTGTTTGTATTTTTTTTCAATAAATCGAACTATTAGTTGTGTAAATGTCTAAATCTTGTTTTAGATAAGCTGAAAAAGAAAGTGTTTTCTGATGTTGGTCTCAGTCTTCAGTGTTCTATTTTTAAGAGTTTGGGTCCAACTAAACTTACTAAACAACCACACATGTCATGGAGGCAGTTAAAACACCAGGCTATGTACAATACACCCATGTTCCATTTGTAATTAAAAATTGCATCATTTTGAAATTGCTCCCACATTTTAAACCATAAACACGTGTCTGTGTATGTAGGTGAATTTGAGACAGTAAGTTGTTACCTGCGTCTGCCAGAGGCCTGTAGTAGCACCATGTCCATCTGTTGTGGTATCTGGAGGCCACGACTGATTGACTAATGATGTTCTATGAGAGACACATTAGCCAGATCACACAGATGACTGAATCGGCTTCAACTAAGCCTCACAAGCCAGGCTAATGATGGCTGAAACACAAAGGCAAGACCTTTTAGTTTTTTTACAGTGCGGTGTGGTGTTGCGAGTCGATTTGTGACTTATCAGCTTTTAAACCCCTCTCTGGCAATTTGATGTGATGTAGTTCAGAAACTGTAACATGCAGTAAAGTCAAACCTTCAGACCTCACTATTGCACCACACCTCATGCTCCTATTGTTGATGGTGAAACAGACAGCTCTCATTACAAGTGATGATGGAGAATATGGTTCTTTAATTCCAACACCAATCAAATGCAGCACCTTATGGCTGTTTATTGCTATGGTTACACCAGCAAGCCCTGCAAGCAATCACAGGTTTATCAAGGAAGTTCATATTCCTTCCTTATGACAGTGAGATCATACAGTAAATAAAGAGGTAGAGTTGTGGGTAAAGCAGCCTTGCCTTGTTCCTGGTAGCTTAAAAGAAGGGAATCTTGAATCCCCTATAGCTTACCAGCTGGGTGAAGATTCTGACCATCCATCCAGTACAATTAAATGATTATGATCTCCTCTTTCTGTCTCTTACGAATCAGTTTTCTCTCTCTTCCCCTTCTCCCTTCTCGCGTCCTTTTCAAGCTGAGGAGTGTGGCTCTCTTTGTCATAATGGCACAATTTCAGCCTCTCATCCGCCGTCTCTGTTCCCCTTCTTTCAGCAGCCTGTAACGTTCTCTGTCTGTCTCATTTCCCCTGACACCTCTGTGGACAGAAAGAATGCCGAGGCTTCTTCCCAACTCTCTCTGATTACCTCTCCTCCTTCTTGTCCATGCTTGTTTCAACCTTCCAACCATCATTGTGGCTTCTCGTCCCTCGTCCACCCCCCCCTCCTCATTTACTCCTGGTTACAATGTTTAGATTAGGTTGTCAATGCCATTTTACTTCTTAGTGCTACTTCATTGTTTTAGACTCTTTATCCCTTTCTTCCTCAGTCTTCTGTCTCTTTGTTACTTCAAACAGTGTTTTATATTACTGACCTGTGACCAAGAGAAGTCACCTTGAATAATGGGCTAGCAGTGAGGAAGACAGTATAGCTGCACTTCAGTGTTTATTATTAGCTTTTTATCTAAACAACCCTGAAATAACTTCAAACCCTTCCACCTTTTTTTTCTCCCTGTGGTCAACATGATCCCTTTTCAAATTCTTTATGTCGTCTTTTTCTGTCATCGCTTGCATTATGGACTTTACCTTCTCTCAGTGCCACACTACCACCCCCCCCCCCTTCACTTTTTTTCCCATCCTATCTTTGTTATTTTACCCTCACTCCGCACTCTCCTTTGCTTTCTTCCTCAGATGAGATTGAGATGCTGGAGCGCCTCTGGCTGTCGGGTATCTGCCATAATGACAAAATTGAGGTGATGAGCAGTAAACTGGACATTGACAACATGGCTGGGGTGTTCTACATGCTGCTGGTGGCTATGGGCCTCAGTCTGCTGGTGTTTGCCTGGGAACATTTAGTCTATTGGAAACTGCGCCACTGCATGGCTACGAGTTCAGGCAAATTGGACTTCCTCTTGGCAATCAGCAGGGTGAGTGTTTTTGTGTCAGTGTGTAAAATAATGTGTTTTCAACACTAACACAATAAATGCCTAGCTTTTTCACTATCACTTTGAAAAAAGCTTTAGCAACACATCTATTATTGTTGCCTGCTGTGATAAGAAATAAATCAATTAATCTCACAATAAATTAAAATGCGGTTGATAAATTAAAACAAGGTTGATAATTCCTAACTATTGTTTTGGTATGTAAATTTTATAAACTTCTTTAAGCTTTGTTGTTGTTTAAAATGTTCTCCAAACAATATTGTCATTTATCACGATAATTTTTGAGACAATTTATTGTCCAGCAAAATTTATTTTGACAGGCGTAGTTGTATTGTTGCTTGTCACACATCATCATCACATGGATTCATGGGTCTTTTTCTGTTCTATCATTTATTAAAAAGATATGAATGCTGGAAAATGTGAGGGAGGTCTTGTACTGTTGAGTTATTTTATAAAATTAATTGAAATTCACTTCTTCTAGCTTCTTGTGTCTCTTATTCCTTTGAGAGTGATTTTGACTGAAACAACCCACACTATGTGAATAACAGCAACAGTGATTGTTAATCTTTTTCCACCGCTGTAATTTATTCACTTCTGTATGCAGTTTTACTTGTTACACAATGCACGACTGTACTATAAATGGAAATTATTTGAAAATGGCAATGCAGCATGTATTATAAAGACTGAAAGTTGTTTGGATTCATTGTTTTTCTATTTTCATTTTAACCCACTCTGTTTTTTATTACATCCGCACTAGCCTGGCCCTTGCCTTCCTWCGCAGCTCCGCTCAATTCTAGTTTCCCTTCAGTGCTCCGTCTGGGACTTCTCCCATTGAGATTGATTTCGCTGGCAGATTTTTAGCCGGGCCAATCAGAGAATAGAACGTCAATTTTTTGTGCAGTGTCTGCTTGTAGTTTATTTTACCTGGGCCAATCAGCAAACAGAAGGCAAAGTTTTGAACGACGTCGATGTTCTGTGCAGTGTCTGCTAGTTAGTTTAGCATACGGCAGTGGAGGTAGTGAATGAAGCCAGTCCGTGCTGATAAGGCTTCCAAATTAAAATAAATTTGTCTGACAAACCAGCAAACTGTAAATCTCATTTACAGTCGTGTCGTTCGGCTCGGTACTTTTCTCCTCTCAGTAGGGTTGTTTACAGCACACGCGATTTCCGGTTAGCTTCTTAGCTTAGCCTCCGTCACAGCAACAACACATACATGCTTCAGCAGAGGCCACGCCTCCTGCATGAAACGCTTGTCTATGCATCAAGTCCAGACCCTAGTACAAAGCAAAGTGAAGGACAGGGTCTGGTTTTAACCAGGCTACATCTGCACTATAATGATTTTCTTCCCATCTATATGTGTTATGTGTTTTCCATAATAAAATATACAATAGGTTTATATTATTTTAGCCACAGAAAACAGCCATTTTAACACCTGAGTTGCTTTTTAAGAACTTTTTCTTGTAAAATAACTAATTTCAATTTGCTTGTTCTTTCACGTAGGGCATGTATAGCTGCTGCAGCTTTGAGGATGAAACAGCACCAGGCGGTCCTAAATCTTTGCCTTCACACCACCACACAGCAATGGTTACCATCCCATCGCAGCCACATGTGGTCTCGACAACTGTGACCAACCCAGTCATTGCCATGGCGCAGCAACAGCCACAACCACAACAGCAGCAACCGCAGCCTGTTTACAAAACTCCTCTACCAGGCTCTCCTCCCACTGTGGTGCATTCTGGAACTGGACTGGGCTCTTCCAACACCCCGATCGCTGGTGCGCCCCTCCCTTGCTCCACTTTCTTGCCCCGGCCAGACCGCAGGCTGGCTGTTGTGGATCGCTGGAGGCTGCCTAAAACTGCTACAGCCACCAACCCCTTGGCTGTAAGAGGGGCCATCACTGACATGGGACCGTTTGCCCAGAAGGTTCCACCGAACTGGGCTTCAACTGCTGGAGGAGGTGGGGGACTCGATGGCTATAAGAGATACTATGGTCCCATTGACCCTGAGGGTCTGGGGTCCTGCATGGAGCAGCAGGCAGGGTCCCAGACCCCCAAGACTATACCTAGGGGCCACCCTCAACCCCCTCCAGCCAGTGTGGCCTTCTACACAGAGAAAGGCATGGACTGTGGGGTGGGGAAGAGGGTGGTGGGAGGTGGCAGTGGAGGTCAGGGGAAAGGGCCTGTTAAACCTCTGGGCACTCCCAGACTGCCTCCTAAGAGTCAGGCCCCTTTGCCTCCTACACCTCCTCTGCCACACCCCTCTCCCCCTCTCCCTTCATCCTTCTGGAGAAAGCGAAGGCCCAAGAAGCCCAAAGAGCCTGGAGGGCCACTGTATGAGAACATTCTGCCTCTGGGGCGGAGGGGAGGTACAAGAGATGGTGTGAGAGAAGGAGGAGGGAGGAGGGCACGACCCCTTTCTCCTCCACTTTCACTTCCTATACCAGTTCCCCTCAGCCCCTCATATACCCCTCCTTCTCCCTCTGCATCTTTGCACTATACATCATCGTCATCTACGTCAACATCCTCGTCAACATCCACGTCTTCGTCTGCCTCATCTTCTCGCTCCACCTCTCCCACCTACTCCTACAGCTCCTCCAGGAGCACACGAGATAGGACTGGAGGACTTGACGAGGAGGATGACGATGATGATGAAGAACTGACAGAAGAGTCAAGCCTTCTCCTAGGGAGAGGACGAGAGAGGGAACGCTCAATCATACGGCCTCGTTCCCTCAGTCATGGCCGCTTGCCACCCCCGATACCCCCCAGGAAACCACGTACATCCTGGGGTGACAGAGAAAGAGAACGGGGGAGGGAAAGAGGTGGGAGCCAACTGTCTCAGCTCCAAGAGTGGTGGGCAAGCTGGAGTGAAAGGGAGAGGGGTGGAACAGGTGGAGATGCTGAGAGGCAAAAAAGGGAAAAGAAGAGGAGGAAAGAAAAGGAGAAAGAGAAAAAGAAGAAGAAAAAGAGCAAAAAGAGGAAAAAGAGAGAGGAAAGAGAAAGAGAACGTGAGAGAGAAAGGAAGCGCAGGAAGGTGAAAAAGAAGAAGAAGAAAGCACTGAAAACAAAGAAAAGGAAGAAATCCACTGGGGGAAAACGGTCTGAGCCAGAGGACGGAGATGTAGAACCTGAGAGGGAAGGAGAAGCGGAGGGAGAAAGGGATGGAGGGATTCAAGACTACTCCTCTTTTTCTGCACAGTACGGCAGCACATTTGGTGAGAAAGGACGGGATTCATGGGAAGGAGAAAGAGGCAGAAGAGAGGGAGCAGAAGAGGACAATGACAGGGATGAAGACGACAGCGGAAGAAGCAGGGATAGACGTCCCAAATCGTCACACTCTAGACACCGCACCCCCAGTAAACGCTACCCCAACCCCAATAAGTTTCCTGCATCTGTCAAATTTTGGATGAATGGCAGGGGAGGTGACTCGAATGCTCCTCCATTGTCTCTCCACCCACTCCTTCCATCCGCCAAGCGACGAAAAAGTGGAGGGATGGATCGAGAAGACAGTGGTAGAGTAGGAGAGCGTCGCCCTCTTTTGATGCATTATGAAAAAGAGAAAGCACAGACAAGAGAAGGGCTGTCCTTTCATGAGTGGGACTCAGACGAAGACGATGACGATGACAACGATGAGGAAGAGGAAGAACGGGATAGAGTGAGGGAGCGGGTGGAGGATAGGGGCAGGCGGATGGGTAGGGGGGCTGTGTCTGAGTCAGAGAGGGACAGGGCAAGGGTGGATGACAGCTACTCGGATGAGGGTTCTTCAGGGGAGTTTGGTCGTTTTGAAAGATACTGGGAAGAAGGAGCAGGAGGGAGCGGCACTGGGATAGGGGGAGGTTGGTTCTTTGGTACCTACCCATCGAGGGAGAAGGGAGGCAGCATCAATAGTCGAGATGATTCTTTACTTGGGACTCGTGCAGAGGGATGGATTGGTGCTGATTTCTGGGGATCGGGACATGGCGTTGGTTGGGCACCTGGGGGAGGGAGTGGAGGGCTGGACTCCCAGTGGCCCCTGCCTCCAACAGCTTTCCCCCCACCTAGACGATACTGGTCTATGGACAAAATTCCTGTAAAGGGAGAGAAAAGGTGGAAGAGTGGAGGTAAGAGGAAAGGACGGAGTAGGGAAAGAGCAGAGGAGGCAGGACGAGCAACTGTGTGTTCTTGTAGCCTTTACCCCCAACCACATCCTTATCCACATCCCCATAGCCGCTCACACACCTCCCAGTCCAAGAGAAGAGCCTCAGTTCTTTCTCATAGCCAAGAAGAGCTTCTTCCCCACTGCCAAAGCTTCAGCGGGGGCTCACGTCCAAAACCTTTGCCTCCCAAACCAGATTCCAATCAAGCCAAATCAGGCAGCCAGTCTAACCTCAGCCTCAACACACAGCCTACAGACCATCAACCGCAACCTTCACCATCACCACCTCAGCAACCATCTATGTCTCCCACATCCCTTCCAATGCCCATCCCACCTCCCCCCTCTTCAGCCTCCATCTCACCACCAGCAGGGGTGGGGATGGTAGGCCAGGCTCAGGCTACAGCCAGTGCCAAACTGCAGTATCAGAGACTGCGCTCTGTGCCACAACCACGGAGGTTCTACTCTCCCCACCTGCCACTCAAAGCCAAGAGCCTGTGCTCACGTCGTGGGTCAGCCCACTTCTCCAGCCTGGAGAGTGAGGTATGACAGGGGGAGAGGAGAGAGGGAGACGTGGGAGCGAGCACCAATGCTATTGAAAACCATGGTGCCATGGCAGCTGGAGCTAGGGACGACACCAATGATATGGCCGCCTTGGTGACCATAGGTGATCAGTTAGCATCCATCACTACAGAAACTAATATGGACAGTAGTTCTATTGCTAACACTACTCTTGGTGAGGGCAACACTACTGCCACCCACTCCATAGTACGCGTTCTTATGAGGGCAACGGTGAGATGCCACACCAGGGTGAGCTACATCCGTCTGGATGGTTCCCAGGACGATGAGAGTGAAGGTGAGGCTGCGTCACCAGGGACACCAGCCCCAGAATTTCTCCTGTCCTCAGAAATGAGCTTTGTGATGTCATCTTCGGTTCTCCTCCCCTCCCCGAGTCACAACTGTGGATAACAGTAGTCTCTGACCTGTGAGTAATGATGTCACGTTTGCACACGCACATACCTGCACACACAGATACACACACACAGCCGCACGCACACACAATATGCTCAAAACGTCTCCCTCCCTCTGGCTTTGAAAACACACCTCTCTGGGATGAGGAGAGACCCACCTTTTCTCAAAAGATGCCGGTGTTTGGTCAGTAGAGTCTGGCCTGTTGTCCTCATTGGCTGTTGGCTTTTGAACTGGACTGGTGGACTGCTTCTTGGTGTTGGAGAGACTACTCCCTCTTCTTCCCTTTTTTAAGAAAAAGCAATGCAGTCACCTCTGTCATGCACTGTCTGCCTGATTATCATTCAATGGACAATGAGCACAGTGCTATTTTTTGGCCTCATGACACCATCAGACCCATCTAGCTCTACCCCAGGACCATCTGATATGATGTCACGTTTTACTAAAAAAAAAACCTTTTAACTAGTCACACTGAACAGGAACCTTTTTTCCTCTATACTGTTGGAGTTTGTCATGTCACCTCTGGTCCAACTGGGAAAAATCTTACCAAGTTTCAAGTAATCTGAACAAAAAAACTCAAAAGAAGAACAACAATAAGAACAAGAAAAAAGACATGTAGCAAAATTATTTCTATGTCTGTCTTTTCTTTCTTATTCAGACTTCTCTCCCCATCCCTCTTTTTATTCTGTCAAAATGTTTCTCTGACTGTGTTAGTGTTTTAATAGGAGGCTGGATGTGGCTAGTGTTGGAAGTGGGAATGATTTAATAGCAGTGCCAAATTTCCACTCTTGAGCTTTTACACTAAATTGGTTTTCAAGTTAATTCTTGTGATAAAATCTCGTCTTATGTCTTAACGTGTGAACAGCGCATAATTTCACCCTCATATAAGTGGATCCAGGGGATGATTAGTGCAATATCTGTAATTGGCACTAGATGGCTGCATAATATTCAAACAAGCTTATGAGACAGTTGTGCAGGAAGCTTGTGTTTGATTTAAATGTAGAAACACGACAGGTTTGAAAGTGTGTGTGCAGCTATGAACTTAATTACTTCTATGAAAGTGTTCAGTCAGGATTTATTCTGAGGAGCTAGGGGGTTTTCAAACCAGGAGCTGTGTATTTTAAAGCTCTCTTAGGATACCATTCTACATTGCCACTATTATGTGTCTTGGCTGAATTTGTGGATGATGGATTATGTGAAGCACAATTCCTCATTGTATTTTCCAGTCATGTGTGCCACAGTTGTAAATGCACAATCTCAAGGTAACATATTTTGCTGACACAGCTCCTCACATGATGACTAATGTGGCTGTTGTAAAGGATACATTTCACAGTAACTAAGGTTTAAATAGTAAAAAAAAAAAAAAAACCTGCGCTGAAGAGCTCATCTTCCTTTGTCTTTTTTCCTTTTTTCAGCAAATAAGACAGAATGACATACTGTGAATGTTTTGAGGTGCACATACAATAGCTGAAACATCAGTGAATACAGTCAACAATAACTCCTGAGATTTAGATTATTGGATGACTGTTTGACTTTGAGCAATATTCCCACCTTCAATGTGACAGGGATGCAGTGGCACATCATTGTAGTTGATTTTCTTTGGATTTAAAATTAGATTTGCTGTTTGAATCAGGGTCAGATGTTTCACATCTTCAAGTTTTTACTAGCAGAAGATTTTTAAGCTAATTTGGTCAGATGTGGATGTTCGTAAATGGTTTAAATCTCCAACTTTTGGCTATAGGTTAAAAAATTTAGAAATGCTACATGTTTAAGACTGAGTGGTGATATGTAGCATTGTACCTTCTGTGCCAAAAGCCACCCACTGTTTAACTGTATAAATGTTGCAGTGCCAAACACTATTCTCATAACTTCAACACATCCACTTCATGTCTCACACTAAGACCAGCCACAGCCCAGCCATTTGTCTATCGTAGTTGAATGTAGCGTTGAACTGATGTAGCAAAAGAACACCTACATTCTTTGTAGCTTTTTTTATGAATGCTGTTTATAAAGGCTAGATGGAGGGGGTGGGGGAGGGGTTGACCTGCTATGCGAGGGGCTCTGCATTGTGTTTGTGCATGTTGTCACAGATCGGAAGGTTAGTCGACCTTTTCACGTCCCCAGTTTTTCACTCTTTCGCCCTTCTTGAGGTCAGACTGTACCTTTTTATCTGCACATGGATTGCTTTTTTTTCTAAGTCTCTGCGGGGCTATTTTTAAAAACAACGTATTTTTAGAGAAATGCTTTTTGCTGTTTCCCATCCCCCCTTTGGAACGTCCCAGACTCATTGCATGTTTAGCGGAATGAAATTGCCAAGATTTGTGTGGCAGGAGGGCTGTGTAGGTCAGTCGTAGCATTTGGGAACCAGGACAGCCACCTTTTTTCGATGAGATAGCGAGCGCAGTCTGCTCTGCACCCCAGCAGTGGAAAACACGTCAGCAGTTCGACTGTTTCCTGTGTAACACAACACAGTTCTTTTCAACCAACTAACAGGGCTTAAACCTGGTGTGTCATTGAGCATTATTGATTTCTTTTAAGGCACTAATACTTAAGTCTGTGACTGCATGAACAGAACTGACTCTTTAAAAACCCTCTGGCTTATTTTGTTTTATTTATTTTATTATATGCTGAGAAAAAAAGAATATATTGAAATATACTATGTTTTTGAGAATGAACCATGTTATACTGTGATTTAACTGAGATATTTTATTGTATTCAATCATCATTTGAATTCTATCATTTATCTATCAAGAAAAATATATGTACAAATAAATATATACATATATACATACAGGTATATATATATATTAGTTAAGTTTGGTATATTTGGAGGAAGTGTTAGATGAAATAGTTTTAAATGTTTTAGCTTTGTAGCGATTCTAGACTCGGAAATCATTTTTGAATTTTGATTCCTCCTATATGACTGTGAAGACATTAGTGCCTGTGACAAAAAAAGACAAGCAAAAGTCAAAACTCTTTATTCATCTGTATCTACTACGGCTATCAGTCCATCACTCCTATAGAACTACCTAACATCACCGTTTCACATTTTCTCCTCATCAGTGTTTTTTTTCCACGTAAACTTATTTTTTCTATTTTTTTCTCAGCTTTTTTTACTCCTGGTTTTTACGACCAAGCTCTGTAGCATCTCTTTGTTTAAACATCTGTTGCAAAGTCGTCACATCTTTGTTATTTAAGCCATTCATTGACATTAACTTCTTTCCCTTTGATCGCTTTTTCATTTTTTTTATAAATCAGCCCATTTCTCTGTCTCTCACTTAGCAAAAAACAGAGACCAGTAGATACTGTGTTCTTGCTCCTTTTGACTGATTGTTGTTGATGATGATGATGATCAATTCACTGGTTGATAAAATAATTACTGAACAATGTTACTATTACTGATGTGACTGAAGTGTGCATCTGACGACCACACCACTGTAGCAAGTCTGGGCTGTACCACACCACCAGCGAGCAAGTGGGGCCACAGTTGCTATGGTGTTGCCATGGCATTTTGAATGGCGTTGCCATGGTGTCCTCTGCACCTCCATCACCTGGTGCCTGCTGGGTAATATAGCATAATGTCCTTCACTTTCTCCGAGTCCCTGGTCAAATATCTGCTACCTGTTCTAAACTTTATGAACACAAAGTGGAATAATTATAATAAAAAAGACGGTTTGGTGAAGAGCTAAGGAGTGCAGATCTAGACTGGACTGGCTTTGCCTTGAATGTCCTAGAGTCTTTTTGTCAACTATGCTTGAAATTATCAGTATAAGTTGCCTCGCGTGTGATTTTAAAAGCTTTATCACTGATGGCCATAAAACAAGTGGGAACTTTCTCAGTGCTTGCACATTTCTAATATTGAATTGAAATGTTTGATGCTAAGCAGGGAGATGATGTACTGCATGAATTTCAATCAACAGTATGCCGCAGCATGAGTGTGCAACGCTCTCTCCTTTGCTTGTTTTTCATCTCCTGCAATTTCTGAAAAATGCATACACACACATTTGCTGTGCATGCATATTTAACACCCAATCACCCAGGCAATGATCCTCATCCTCCGCTAACACTCACTCAGCTGCAGTTCAAATCAACATCTTCAGAAGTCTCATTGTTCCACGCAAGCTTTGCAAATGCACGCTCATCCGATAGCTACTCTAAGTTATTAAAAAATGTCCTCTGTGTAAAATTTCATCCACCTGAGGGAGCTGAAAGCATTCGCAATGAATATTCTGCTTGTTTGGAGCTGTCCATCTTCTCAGTTTGTCATTCGTCTTCTCCTGCCGCTTCTCATAAATCAGTTTCTGTTTAGACAAGTCAAGTTCAATTTGTTTTACTTTGCTGGCTTGCTCCTTCTTTAATTTACATCTTTGTTGTGATCGGTTTTGATTTATTAGATTTCCTCCTTGGTCAAAAAGCATGCACTGAATAGTCCAGTCCAGTCTAGAACAGCGTGCTCCACTGGCAGCTCTATTGCCTGATTTCGTAAATGATCCCAACGCAGCCTCAAGATCACCCCCCCTTCCCCCTCTTTCCCCACCACCAATGGCCCATGACCTGGTAACCAAAATGTGTGGTGCTCCTGAATTCAAACAGGGTCCTCATCGGCTGAAATTGGCCATGATTTATATAAAGGAAATACAGGAGCGTCACACGTAGTGCTTGTCAGGTCCAGGGTCTGCATGTTGCACCATGAAAAGCTTACTGTACTGCAGTGACAGGACACTTCTACCCACAGAAACCAGAGTGTGTTCTCACCACTGTACAAGGCCCAGCTCTGCTCTAGTAACCTCGCCAACACTACAGGCCTGCTTACGGGCTGCTAAGGCGAGTTGCTAGTAGGGTGATGTTGCTCCTAGCCCAGACTGGTCTGGTCTATGCCCTCATTTAAAATGTGTTAGTTTCTTTGACATTGTCTGTCTGGGGTGGGGCTGGAGGGTCAGTGCTGCACTTACTTCCTGAGAATTGCTTCATAAAATATGATTCTCTCTAATTAACGGCAGTGGTGCTGTGTCTCATTCCAATTTGTTTTTGTCACGCACGTTCCGAACATGAGACTCTGCGATGGCTGTGCTGTGAGCTGTGTTTGAGTGTCTTTTACCTAAGGAAGGCATCATCTATGCAAGCTCAGTCAGAACTCTTTAAAAAATGATGGAGAGCTCAAAGGCTAGTTTATTTGGTGTTCAGATGGTTGTGTGTGTGTGTGTGTGTGTGTGTGTGTGTGTGTGTGTGTGTGTGTGTGTGTG